ATTATTATTATTGTTCGACATTCGATGGTCCACGGGACGTATACGACGGAGTGTGAAATACTTTGTTAACACGAAATGTGCATAATTGCAATTACACCTTGCTGACCAGGAGCGAGCCACGTGGCGGTAGAGTTATTTCACATTTTTTGATGATCCCAGCTGTAAGGAATGTGCATTCTTTCGATATCTCCCTTAGTTGACAAATATTCATTTATCCCTCGCGTGAGGTACAAACATGCTAAGTATGTTTAGAAGAGTATGCATTTTTTGAAGGTCAACCTTTCGTCGCAGGTAGATTGCTTTATGAAATTACTTCTTCGGGGCGTTAAAACGTTCAACTAAGTGTAGTTCTTCTAAAGTGATTTGCGATTCATATGCTTAAGTATCCTGTATCAATATAACGCAGATACAAAAGAATGCAGCAATATAACATGTCGGGGCTTGATTCTTACTTGCTATCTTGAAAGTTAAATAAACAATGTAAATTAACCACATAAATGTTATTTTTTACCACGTGCTGGTTCTCACACGTTGATGTCTTGTATCTTTTGATTCTGCATATACCGCAGCGTGATCACATTCTTCAGCAGAGTTATTTTACAAATGCGGCCAGTAGGCCATATGTCCTAAGATCAAATAATTAACATTATCACCACAATTTTGAATAATATACAAATAAAACCATTATGATACGACTTTTCGTAAAATGAAAAAAATAATGTTTTAGATGCAAACTGTATTCATTGATGAAATGCAATTTTTTTTTATTAACTGTGCATACAAGTTAATCTGGTACGCATGCGCATTAGCATCTTCAGTATTTTATTTAACGAATACTGCACTGGGTTTAATTTTTTAATTTATTGCTTTAAGAGTCATTATATTTTCCTATGAAGATGAAATTTCGAAAACAATTTGAAAACGTTCGAAAATACTCGGAGGTATCTTCATTAACCTTTTAAATGCCTAAAATGTAATATTTATTAATTTAAAAAAAAAAGTGTGAAATGGCGTTCTTTGGATTTTTTTTGCGCCTTGGTTCGAGTTGCTGAGTGAAATATGAAAGGGGATACATACCTGAGTTGTGTACTTTGTTTAAAGTTGATTGGATAGTCAACGTTTATGTTTTGTGCCGAGAAAATGACATAACATATAACCCTATATCATTCACGTCGAGCATATCCGTGTTTACTTCCGTGTTTACTTGATCGCGATTTCACGACTTTTGTTATGTTGGTAACAGTGACAAATAGTAGTACGTAACAGTCGCCGCTATAGTCACGTGGCATGAGCGGGAATTGTTTTGGTTTTATGTTGGCGAATTCAAGATGAATCGGACGAAGATTGTAGAAAGGAAGGAGGAATGACTATCAAAAAACTAAAGGTCTATATTAAATATAAGATACTATGCGTATCACCTTATTTTCGATTTTTAGATAATTTAACATATTTTTTTTCCGCGTTTGTTTTTTAATTTTTTATTTATATTGTATAATTCACCCAAAATAAAGCGTGAAAACTGCGGGTATTATCTTTGACGGTAACCACTGTATGTAAAGTCGCGTTCGATGTGGATTTCCTGCGCGAGGATTGCGACATGTTACCAATCAGATTTACATATGTCACGACGCACAGACGTGGCTACAAGAACCGGAACTACTTCGTATATCGCCCTGAGCAGTCGTGTCATTAGTGAACAAAAAAGGAGAAATAGAAAGTTGAATTGCATGTAATTCTACACAACACACATCCCGTCCGACATCCCACCCATATCAACATAGTTATTGCGCTGGTAATAAAATAAGTTTCTGTTGAACCTTTTCATTATACTTATACAACATTTTTCTATATTTTTTCAAAAATTTCTTTGATGATTTTAGACAAATAGTAATTTTTCACTGCATTCATGTTTTGATGTTTTTACAGTTTCCAATGTCAGTCTGAACAAAATGTTGAATCGAAATACAAAAAGAATGCAGTGTCCGGATGTAGATTATATTACTCACGCCTACGTAACAATATAAGTAGTAAACCACGTTGCTTTGTGAATGAATTGGTGTCAGATTATTGGAGTGTACGCTATTTATAGAACACAAGTAGGTCGTCTAGTATGGGTGAAGGAAGATCTGCATATTCCCAGAAGGTGTCACTAACGACGGAAGCCCCAATAAAGCCGGAAAAGTTGTGATCATATAACTCAAAGCTGGCTTGACAGAAACCGAGATACTGTTTTTTAAAATGTATCAATGTACAACTATGTCTGATACAAATGTATCAATGTACAACTATGTCTGATACAAATGTAGGAAGTTAGATATAGGGTGGGGTTGGTGGTTTATGTTTGAAATATGTTTACATCGTAGTGTCTATAAGGAAACGTGATTGGCGAATTTTATTACGCTTAGGGAGATATCACTATTTCTATTCCTGGGTGTCCTTGTCAAAATTAAAACATGTACATGAAAACACTACTACGGATTACTTCAAAGCTGAGTTTGTGCCGTTTTCTCGACTTTAGCTGTTTTCACCGGCTCTTCGATCAGCGTTTCACAGCAGCTCACACAGACACAGAGCCCATAGCAACTGGTGCGCCCCTTAGCAAAGTAGAACGTTCTGTGACGTAGCTACACCCCGAGGATATAGGATGATGTACAGTACGATATACTGAACGACAAGAAGACTGTAGGCAAATTGAAGCATAACGTGGGTACATACAAAGAGCCAATGAATATGGAAACACCAAACTATTTCTTAATTTTCTCCTTGTTCGAAATGTACCACGTACTAGTAGACGCCCACCCAATCTGATTAAAATATGATGTAGTGTATGGGATTAATTATTTTGGCCATAAACTTATTTTAATTTTATTTGTTATTACTTTTGTTATTGATGCATTTTTATTTTATAATTTTACTTTGATTTTGTGATTTTTTAATTCGACCCTACATACCTTGTTCGCTTT